TGACAATTGAGAAAAATACCTCGAAAGATAGTTAAGGAAAAGATACAAGAAGTGTGTGCGATTTTAATTCTTGAATCACCCAAGCAATAGAATTACGAGTAAGTAAAATAAGTTATTGAAATAGGAAACTTAAATTATTTAAAGATAAAGCAATACAGAGTATTGTTATTAAATAACATACATAAACAAAGATAAGAAAGTAGAAAACAATATTCTAAACTTTTTTTGATAACAAAGCCATGTTCAGGCATTTTAACAAAATCTATTAACCAAGGACGTACCTATATTTTATTAACGAGACAACCCCGCAAACAAACTTTGATTCCGCTAAGTTCTCTGTGAAGCAATTGGTTCATGCAATTCGAGTTAGTGAGCAGTGGACAAAGACTTATGAATGCATATTTAATGGAATTGCCTGCCACAAAAGTTAGTCGCTTAGTTTTACTACAACGAAGTGTTTTTTCCCTTACTGGGAATGAAATCTAGCACCTCTTCATCAAGAGAATCCAACTCTCTAAACACTGGACCAGGGATACATTATAATGTGAAATTTAAATTGTATTTAATAAAAAGATGAATAAGTAAAACCACAAATTAAAAGTACGGTTCAGATGGACGTCGTTTGTTAAAGACATATTCATACCGTGCATATTTGATATCACAATATTATAAATAATCAACATGGACGCGCACCGCAAGCTCACGCATGTCCGGGTATAAATTCCGTCACATACGAAACCGGATAACCGGATTACAACCGCGCACTGCGGTTTCGCCCGGCTGACAAACGCTACCAAATATTTATATTTCCAAACTTGAATACGCTCCTTTAAATACAAACGGATTAAACGATATGACAGAATAAACTCACGGGTTTCAAATTTCAGCTTCAGAACGTAAGCACTCGTGGGTTCTTTTTCAAAACGGCCGCCATTTTCAAAGAGCTGTCAGAGCCAGGCATCACTTGGCACCCGACTGGCGCCAAACCGGGTAACCGGATTACAACAACGCTTTGTGGTTTCGTTGGGACTTGGGACCGGGTGACAAATACGGGAACTTGTGTACGTGTATGCAAATTTGAATTTATTTTCATCCCGACGCGTCGAGATGGAATTTTAAACGAGTGTTATCAGCGCCACGATCGCCTCTGGATATTTTGTTTGGGATTATGATCATCATACTTGATGGAACTCGAATTAATTCTTGTGAGACATTATTACATACCGGTTACCGGATCGTTTGAATTTGAAACGATCATCAAACTTAACGCTGCTGGTGATTGTTGACGTGTTTATTTATGTACTTTGATTTATAACAAAGTTTAAAATTATGGACGGAATTTTGCACTTTTGTCTCACCTTCAAGATGAAATAATGACTGTAATTTTGCCGGTGACAGCTTTCCAATAACAGTATCCATTTCAGTTTTTGACAAAAGTTCCAGAAAGTATTTGAAGCAATTCTCTTTCCATGATTAAACTTTATGTTTATCCAGTCTTATAAGTAGAATAATTGACAGCACAAACGTTCTACATGTTAGTATTTCAGCACGTTTCCGGGATTATTGAGCCAGTATACCGGACGATAAAGATTTTATCGGGAACCAGGAAATAAAGACCGTACATCCGTCTTCCCGGATCCGAGTGGATATAAAACGTGCATTGGGAATAAATATTGCATTGGAGGTTTTATTCGACAGATGTTACTTTAGTACTACATAGTAAGTGCTGACGGGTAATGTGGAAAAGACCAAGCTGAAGAAACATGTAAAATATGCATTCAAATCCGACAGGAAAATGAACAGTTGAAAGTTTTTAAGCGCTATTATGGTCAATTCTAATACTCGTATGACTAATAACTAATACAAAGCATTCTACTATTCTGAATAATAAATATAATTATTTTGATCAGACAAGGTACGCGCTGGATGCAGGCCGCTACCAACCGTGCGATGTGGAAGTCGTTGGGGGAGGCCTATGTTCAGCAGTGGACATCCTATGGCTGAAATGATGATGATGATGATGAAGGTACACATTCGAATTTAATCACACAGGTAAAGTGCTTAGGAGAGCACTTTCAATGTTTCGTGAACACGTTAGCCTGTGTCGATATGGTCGAGCTTGAGTTATAGGAACACTATACATACATATAATATGTATAGAATACTGTAGAGTTTAAATTCCTTTTAGGTAACTAGGTTTGTAATCCACACAATAGAAGGCAGAATTAGTTACAGAACATGCTGACAAGATACAAATTCGTTTCGCGCAACAAGAATGGTACGTGAAAAACTAACGTAGTTTTTTTATCGGGAAGCAGTAAATAAACTGGAGTACATCTATCTTCCCGAAACCTTCGGGAGCGAGGAAATAAAACCGGGACGCGTTCAGAAATACCAGGATACGAATAAATTGTCCACCATAAAATAAAATTTTCTTCCTGTGGTCGAATGCGGTGCGAATGGCCAAGGGAAACTTTGACAAAGCGTTTGGGATATCCTTCGATTTTTCTCCACACATTCCGAAATATTTTTGTTTCATTACACTTTCAGGGATCAATTCTTTCGGCACAATTGATGGATTGTTTTTTACGCTGTTAATATTGTATTACTAGCTGAACCTGGTAAATTCTTTCAGGCTAGGATCCTTCACGGGCGTCGCCAGTACTAAAGCTTCATCAAAATCTGATCAATGATTTAGGCATAGAACTAACAACCGGCCTCTCCCTCAATTGATTCCTAGCGATAGGACTACAAAATTGTGCCTACCAAATTTCATAACATGGGTCTCCATTGATAAGTCCATTCATTGTGCCTTATCGAAAAAGATCTATCTATCCGTCGAAAAATTCTGCTCGCTACATGAAAACAAACATCCTATATAGCGCTTGGTTTTATAAGCATCCAATAGTGTACAGGGTCGGCCTGCCATGTGTCTCCATTGAGGCAGCTCTAAGGCTGTGCGACCTTAATTGTGGCGGCGACGCTCAACAGCTCAGGTGTTACGTTCATGAAGATTTACAGTAATGCGCACTATAGCGCATATTGTCTTTCTTGGAGGAACTATTTTATGGCCTGACAAACTGAAGAACAAGATCTATCTCAGTATGAATTGGGTTATGAGAAACCAGCATTGTTTGCGTCTTCTTCTAATACATGGTAATAATTAAATGAATGATTGAGGAAGGTGACAAGTTGGTAGTACTTAACGAACGCTTGATGATGATGTTTGAAGCGGAATGTAATGAAATTCAGGACAAACATGGAATAGGTAATGCAAAAGATTCCAAAAACGTTTCAAAGCTCTGCATAAAATTAAGCCTAATGAAAAAGCAAATTAGGTCAAAAATGCGTCACACCTGTCGCGAAGTATAAAAGTTTAATTACGTTTTTACGACAAATAACATCAGCTTGCATGTCACGCGCCTCATGACAGCACATTCGTAAATCTCTCCCATAAAAAAGGGACATGAATTTACATTGAGCAGAAAAGTTGGTGATAAGTTTGTCTTCCAATTCCGCACAGAATCAGTGTGCTTACCAATAGTTTTACAAGAGTAGGTGTGCTCGCTAGCGACTGCGTAAAAAATGTCATCAAAATCTATGACAGATTGTACAGCGCCCCTAGCGGCTTCTTTCAATAACTAAGCTGCTTCTGCTGCTTCTCAGCATTGGCCCATTTATTGTCCTGAAGCAGTGGTAGGGTTAATACTGGGACGTGTAAAAGTGCTTTTTTAAAGCATATTTACAGAAATAAATGAGTTTTTTATGAGTTTTAAAATCTTCATTTTGAATCGTGTACTTTTTCTAAAATGCGAGCTGTAAGCGATACTAGTTGTGCGATGACGCTTTAGTACTCGATACTCTAATCTATGGTAAATTTTTCGATTCGTAGTAAAAATATGTAGTGGGTCGTTTCTCTAAAGCGATCACACATGGTAAATATTTCACAAACACAAAACAGACAAAATGGAATCAAATTATATGACAAAATAATGTCATGGGTTTCTGCAAAAGTATCGTGATCCCAACTACATTTCTCACCCAAGTCTGTAGACATGATATTATGTCTTTGAGCATCGCCAAATTTCGTATTACAGAAGTATTTTATCAATCGTGTTTCAAGAATGTTCTCCTTAATATCGATCGAAACACTACACTAAAGGAAGCATCGTTATTGGTAAACAGATACTATTGATATTAATATCATTGTATTACCTAATACAGTCGACGACACATCTAACTTACATTTATCGCAAAATCGTACCTATTTCAACTACATACATAGCATGTCGGTCTTAGCATGACAAGTCGCGTCTTAACGACCGAGGTTTTATTTATAGAATGACTAGCTTTTGCCCGCGGCTTCGCCCGCGTGGAATTTTGTCTGCCACAGAAAAACTTTATCGCGCGCGTCCCTGTTTCAAAAACCGGGATAAAAACTATCCTTTGTTCTTTCCCGGGACTCAAACTATCTCTATGCCAAATTTCATCAAAATCGGTTCGGTGGTTTAGGCGTGAAAGACAGACAGACAGAGCTACTTTCGCATTTATAATATTAGTATAGATAATAAACATTTTCAAGGCTGTAATGTAAGTACTAGTAACAGAAGGATTAATCAATAATCCATAGAACATTGTGGTTTCAACCTCCGCTCAGCCGACTTCAGTCGCAGTTACGAGAACTTAGCGACTTAGCCTCATTATAAATTAAGCCCCAAGTTAAATTTCAGATAATGATGTAAACTTTGAACTATCGTTTAGCACATGATAAGTCCTAAGTATTTATGCTGAGTTGCACCACCTTACTTTGACGGTAACTTTAACGATAACTGGTGTTTTTGTATGGAGATTGACAGATTTTTGACGTTTGTCAAAGTTATAGCCAATACTGGTATCGTTTACATAACTTACATGAAATTTTAATATTATGGACTCTTGTGTGTTGTAAGTGCTTCTATTCATAAAATCAATAGTTTTAATAATGAACTGATTAACTCTAACTACATACCAATGGCTAAATCAAAAACAGAATAGATCTGGATACGTACCTGAAAAGAGAACACAAAGGTTACTAACATTTAGATCAATCCAATAAACAATATCATTAACAAACTATTAAAGTAAGACATCAAATTGCTAAAGTTCCATTAACTAAAACTCTACTTCATTCCGAACTGATGGAACGTAGTCGTACTCATAAGTCCTCATACTTAGACAACTCGCACCGCACAAGTGGGGCGCACTTATGAATTTAATAAGGCCCGCGAACAAATTAGAGAGAACTACGCGGTATATTGCTAACGCGATTACAAGGAATGCCGGGCTGACATAATTATACTTTGAGTAAATTGAGTGGGACTTGGAGTTACAGCCGTCAAGATTGGTTCACAATCTTAAGGCTGAGTTGCACCATCTAACTCAGTGGTTCTTAACCTTTAAGTCACGAGGGACCATTTTACCAAATTTTGTCTTGTCAGGGACCACTTTTTTTTTTTAAATCCTATGAAAGGGGAGGTCGATTTCTCTCCCACTGTGCGCCGTTTGCGTTGTGTTGCCTCGACTCATCACGTCACGTCACTTGTTTATTACGATGTCTTCGCGGACCACTTGAAATGCCTCCAGGGACCACCAGTGGTCCGCGGACCACCGGTTAAGAACCACTGATCTAACTTTAACCGTGACTATAACGATAACCTGTGTATTTTGTATGGAGTTTGACAGATTTTTGAAGATGGTGCAACCCAGCCACAATGTTGTGAGGTGTCGAGGTGCATCGAAACACAATTAGTAGAGTTGCGAGCATTACTTTTTTTACTACTACAAGAGATTTTTTTCATGAATGACACCACAATATAATACGAAGGTCGAAGTTCTAACTTAATAAACTTGATGTGGGTTTGACAAGTGAGTGATTAAAATTATCTATTTAGGAATACTCGAAGTGAATTCATATGAAAGAGAAAGGCATTATCTCAAATGGCCTGATGCCGATTTCATGCCGTGCCAAGCACAAATAAAAACTGCCAGTCCTCCAAAGGGCTTCTGCAAGTCGTTTTAATGCTGTTTCGGAATAGTCATAGCATTAATGGACGAATTAAGGATTATCTTTTGAAAATTGTTTTTATACCTAAAATTATAGCCACAATAGGCTTGCTTTTAAATAGAGCAAAGTCAGTCTATTCCAAATTTGAGAGTAGCTTGCAAAGAAAAACACAGGCGGGATATCTCGCCCAGCCAGATGTGCAGTCGGATTTCACGCGCCAGGCGCCAAACAAAAAGTGCCAATCCGCCAATGGGCTTATGTGAGTGTCTCTTCAATTCTGTTTCGGAATAGTCAGCTTGAAAATCAAGAGTTGTGGAGGAACTCTGGTTTGGACGCTTCAGGTCAGGAAAGTTAGTTGCTTAGACCATTACAGCAAGATATTTCCAGCTTTTCTTTAGATTCAAATATATAATTTCATAAATATGATTATTGACGTTGAAGGACAGAAATCGCCGATCTATTGTGTTAACTTTTAACTAACAAAAACCCTTCTAATAAAGAACCTCAACGAGCATCTAGAATTTCCAAGAAAATTAATTCCACGAAAGACAATTTACTATAAATCTCCATATAATGGAGAGGCAGAATTGTCTCAGAATCCAATGAGGATCATTTCGATTTTTAGCTGTGAATGCAGATTTATAGGGCTAAGAAATCCTTAATACACAGTCCAAAAATTTTTGTTCTACGACAAAAATTTACGAAGTTATGGCCAAATTACTAAAAAAGTTCACTGACCGCCCGGCGCGGGGACGATGACGTCATTATATCCGATCCGAACGCTGGCGTACTGCGTGGATAGAAAATATTTTTTTCTAGCCAAACTATCAGTTTTAGAGAAAAACTTATAATGACATTTATTCATCAGAATAAAGTAAGCTATCGATAGGTAATTTTTAAAAATAGAAATTGTAAAAAATAACGCAAAAAATCCATACGCTCATACGATTCAATGGAACGCAGAGACGCGATTGGAGTCTCCGCGGTGGTATATTTGGCGATTTATTCAAATAAAGTGTTCATATTAAGTGTTCTTAGAGTCATAATATCTGCTTCCAAGTAAAATATAAAAATGTATAAGTATTAATTTATTTACTTCTCTAACAATAAGGTATAGCTGAGGCACCCCCCCCCCCCAGGCTCAAGTGATACCAAGAACTTATTTAAAATCAATACAAAAGAACAGTCTAAGAGCAATAGATTACAATTCAGTTTGGTTAATATTTTTAATTGATTTTGCATACGTCCTACTACTCTTTAACTACTCGCGAAGTAAAGAGTTTCCCCGTTAAACGCGTACTAACGCAGTAATGGCTGCCGCAATCGGATTAAAGCCGTTTCAAAAGCCTTAAAGAGCCATCCGCCGTGTATGCCCTACTTCTGCTATGGCACTAGAGCCAGCTCGTCAGTTTAACAGCACATCTATGGTACAGAAAGGGTACAATTTGCAGACAGATGCATTTATGACAGTCATGCCCCATAACTCATCAGACACTTTCTACACTGTGGCGAGAATCATCCTGCAAATTATAGAGAATGTACTGCAAGGATGGCCTACGTCAAACGAATCCGCGATCGCCAGGAAAGTCAGCGAAAGTCTAGGAAAACAGCACCTTACGTTCCTGGAAAATCTTGGGCTGACGTTACTAAAGAGTCTCAAAGCAAAAGCCTGCCAATACCATCACAGAAGTTTGACACTTACGAGTACAGGGACACCTCCATGATGCACTTAACCTTAGACAGGAGAAATTATAATCACAACATAGAATCCACTACATCTACCCAGCAGGAGAAAGTACCTGAAGACAATGATGTTGTTACAAAAGAAATTCTTACAATTCTGACTGCTGTCAGAGATCTTAAAAGTAAATTTGTCACTTGCAAATCAATGCTCGACAAAGTAATGTTGGTNTGAAAAAGACTATAGGGTGACAATAGGTTGAATAAAAGGTAACTAACCTGACTGATGGTATCAGAGGTGTCGATGAGCGAGCCCACGGCGTCTACTTCATCGGGCGGTTGCTCTGGGATCGACACTACAGGCGTCACGTACGTGCCGAAGTCACTCTGCGAATATACACCTTATTTAGCGACAATAAGATTACTTTTTAAGCACCACGGGCGTCACCTACGAATATACACCTTATTAAGCGGAATACAGGATCACTTTTAAAGCAAGAATTATATTCTACAAAATAGCTATAGATTCAATCCATTTTGATTGACGTCAGTTACATCTCTCTCTAAATATTCACCTGCAGCAGAAAGTTTGGCGGATTTGAAGGCAGTACGGGCAATGTAAGCAGATTTCTGTAATACTGCAAACTGCTTGCGTGTTTGTAGAACGAGCTTAACTTCTTGAACTGCTGTCGGAACCTGTGAAACAAATGTAATTTAAAGAAGAGAACCTGATCAATCAAGGGTTCCGAAACTGAAAAGTCCCCCCGTAAAGTTATACAGTTTCGATGTATCATAGCCTCCCTTGGATATACTGATGATAAATCCATGATACTGAATAAATATTTCTTCTTCTTCCTTGGATATACAGAACATGGTTTGTAATCTGTGGTAATCACACAACGTATTGATAAAATTTTGTAGCCAAGGGATAATGGGTGGGCTGGCTGGTAAAGGAGCATGAAATTGAGGAGCCGAACTCTCATCACACTGTTGAAGAGATCATAGTAGTAAGTGAAAGACTGTTGTAGTTGTATGAAAATAATCTGTGCGTACTCCAAGATCTTTTGATTAAGGTTATTTATAAGTCTAGTACGAAGAACTGACGACCGATGGGGCAGCAAGGTTCTGGAGTGGAGGCTGCGTACCGGAAAACGCAACGTGGGACGTCCACCCACAAGTTTTTTTTTTTTTTTTTTTTTTTCATTTATTGGGGTCAACAAACAGCTTACACAATGTATGGTTATTAGCTATATACAATTCTGACTTAGATAATTGTGAAACCAACATAGTTAACCACATGTTACTATATGAGTACTTAATTATAAGTATGTTGAGAAGCTATAATTAAAGAAAAACAGTTATAACGTAACCTAGTCCAACATTCAAACCATTATGCCTTCTGTTAATTTATCCAATACAAGTTTTTTATATGTGCTGATTTTAGAAGAGAATATATCTATATGATTAAAATACTTATTATATATCTGCGCTAGTCTATACGATGGTGAACGCTTTCCAGCATTAGTCCGACATATATCTTTAGCAAAAAGTTTAAAAGTACGGCAGGCTCTCATGCGTGGCCTACTCGGTACTTGATATCTTATCCTATCTGTAATACTGATACAATCATATTTATTATGACAAAAATCATAAAGCAGGGTAGCCTGCAATAACAGTCTTCTAGTTCTAAGGCAGGGCAACTCATACCTTTCCAATAATCCAGAATAAGGTAAACGGCCACGATAACATTTATAGTTCATACACTTTAGGTATTTTTTCTGTACTCTTTCTAGACTATCAGAATATTTATTATAATAAGGATCCCAAATAGATATGGCATATTCCAACTGAGAACGAATTAAAGATTTGTAAAGATGAAGATATGTAGCTGGTTTCCTAAAATTGTTAGCAGATCGCATGACAAAACCATACATTTTGTATGCTTTGTTACAAATATTTTCAATATGTGAATCCAGCGTAAGTTTACAGTCTAGTGTAACCCCTAGGTCCCTAATTTGCTGTACTCTATTAAGATTGACACCACAAATTGAGTAGTTGTACTCTGTAAATACTCTTTTTCTTGTAAAAGTTATGCAGTTACATTTATTCAAGCTTAGTTTTAATTTATTTTTATTACAGTATTCCGTAAATCGGTCCAGATCTTGTTGAAATTTGAGGTGGTCAGAAGTATTATTAAGTTGGACCGACGACATCATAAAGGTATCGGGAAAGCGCTGGACGTCCTATGGCTGAGATGATGACGATGATGATGATAAGTCTTGCGGTAGATAGACTGTGACAGGGACGAGGTCAATAGCACGTAGTTCCCCGCTACCTGTTGAAATCTTGATACCTGGTCCCCGCCACATCTTGTTACCGTGGAGCTCTGCTACCGAGCAGGATGGTAGCGCATGAAGTTGCTAGACAATAATTACCTCTCCCTATGCCCGGAGAGGGTGTCAGCCGGTAATGCAGCGTGTAGCCTGAACAGCAGCCGCACGTTGCAGTCGTATATCTGTGAGGAATCCTGCGCGCAGGGAATCAGCTTCCATATAATAAGATGACTTACCTTTCCCTATGCCCGGAGAGGGTTTCAGCCGGTAACGCAGCGTGAAGCCTGAACAGCAGGCGCACGTTGCAGTTGTATATCTGCGAGGAATCCTGCGCGCAGGGAATCAGCTTCCATATATTAAGATGACTCACCTCTCCCTATGCCCGGAGAGGGTGTCAGCCGGTAATGCAGCGTGTAACCTGAACAGCAGCCGCACGTTGCAGTCGTATATCTGCGAGGAATCCTGCGCGCAAGGAATAAGCGCCGCCAGCCGGCACTGGCCGCTCGCTGTCATGGAGTTGGCCCGAGCGTTGCCCAGGCTGTCGAATACTGGAATAAACGCACTTTTTTTTTTTTTTTTTTTTTTTTTTTTTTTTTTTNCACTGTAGAGTGGAAAGTGATGACTTATCTTGTTTAGTCTAGAGCAGAGGGAGCTGACGGATGCATAACTCCTCCCTCCCTAAGTGAGAAATTATCGGAAGTTTCATTTTTATGAGTATTCCGATAATTTCGTTTACATAAAATTTTTACATGTTTGCGGAAGGCAATTAACACAATTAACATAAAAAGAATCAAAACTAATACAAATGTAAAGTATGTAAAATAAGAAGTGTCTGTTTCATTTTCACTAGCACTGATTGCTGCACTGTGTTTCAGGGCGTACGACATGTATTTGATTTCATCCAAATTGATTCCATGCATATTGAGTGCGCGTGCACCGGANCTACGTTCTTACACGTGTGTGGAAATTCTACATTTATATTAAACCGTTTACGTTCATTTATTAGCGGTCTAATTAAATTAAATAAGGGCCGCACGACACGTGCAGCCTCTGTATTTAGGAAATATCATAACCAAATATCGCCGAAATCAGTGATGTGGCACGTGTCACTACCGCAATAGTTCTCTACACATTTTAAATAAGAATTCCGACTCCCGAAAAAGAACTTCTTGACATTTGACATTAACCTGACCCCTGCGTAATCCATTATTGGATTTTATGATTTCATTGATATTTGGGATAGGTTTATAGCCGTCAAAATGCTATCAAAGATGTCGAGTGGTTAGCAATCCGGAATTAAGCCGTGGATTTAAAGATTTGTCGTTTAGTGGAATTAAATCGCGAGGTTGGAAGTTGGAGTTGGAAGAGTTCACGGTCGCACACACAAGTAGATTTGTTTTATAGTCAAGCAAAGCAATTCTGCATTCATTATATTGATGCCATGGTGCTTTAAGTTGGTTTAAAAGTAACGGCGCGTTTTCACCGCAATGCTTTCAGCCGACTCAACACCTTCAACAGTTCAGCCAAATCCATTAATTTGTAAACATTCTGGAAAAATTTTGGCCTTTTTGTGCTGCTTATTTTTTGTGCACACAAATATAAAGCTAAATAAATATAGTTAAAGCGCATAATAAAGCTTTTAAATAAATAAAATAGGCTGAGGACAGTGATCATGTTTCATGCTTTGCAGCATCATCAGAAAGCAGTGGTAGAGTTTGAGGTATATTGGGAAATAGGTTGACATCGATTTTTTAAATAATCCTTGTGAAAAATATTTATTTGTTACATTATTTATTTGTCAACACCGCTGGCGGTCACAACCTCAAAGGTCGTCGGTGACAGCCGCAGACATCGTTAGCGGGCCGCGATACCATCGGCGGCTGTCACGCGTGACACGCGCGGCGTTGCGGCGCAGTTGTCGGTCGTTTGCGATTTTTCAAGGCGTGATAACACTCGTGTAAACACTGCCTTGATTTAAGAAAACATGGAAAAGGAGCGGAGAATTCTCGCGATATCTTTGTTTAAAAAGTTGAGTTGATACTAAGCAAATACCGCCATTATGCTGCGAAAACTTTGTCAGTTTCAATTTTATTTGCTTAGTATTTGCCTACATAAGTAACATTCAATATTAGTACGTAATTCTACATACCTACTTTTAGCAAAAGTCACGCTATAGACATTTCAAAATTAAGAGAGTCGCAAATCGTACGTAAAATAAATACTTACCTAAAAAGATTCAATATTTTGAAGGTAAAGTAATATCCTACCCGTGTGATTTTACATCTCAAATCCTTTAATACGAGGGCGAAACCAGCGATAAATTGTGGTTTTGGATGGGGCTTCATTACCAAATGCAGAAATCATCCGGTCAACACACTGTTTTTGTGTTAAACCACTTCAAAAGTCATAATAAATCATCGCTCTTGAATTTTCTCGAGTCAATTCCATTTTCTCAACGACTAAACAAGTTTGACAAGACCTTGTGATACGACCGAGAATCTTTTTTAAAATAAATAAATGGTATACGATTTTTAAAACCCTGGAGTTTGCAATTAAATAGATTTTAATATGACTGGAACAGTGGAAATATTACATTCCCGATACTTTTAGTGCAGCCCTCGTAGAATCAATGCCGATTTCTAATAAAAGGGGAATGTTCGCCGGTTCAAAGCGTATGAAACTGAAATCCTTTGTGAAAAAGAACTTTTCACTATATTAAATATCGATCAGCCGTCGAATGTTTTTATATAAGCTACTTTAATATACCTTTTTTGCTATTAAGCCAAACGTTGCGTTGTGAACGATAAATATCTATTTGTATTTTTTGTGGGCAGGGGGTACATAACTCGTAGAGCTGATGGCCGCTGGGGCGGAAAACTTCTCGAGTGGCGACCACGGACCTTACTTAGTGTGGACAGGCCCCCCACTAGGTGGACCAACGATCTGGTGAAGATCGCGGGAAGTATCTGGATGCAGGCAGCGCAGGACCGGTTGTTATGAAAATCCTTGGGGGAGGCCTTTGTCCAGCAGAGGACGTCATTTGGCTGAAACGACCGAACGAACTACTTACCTACTTTTTCATAGGCGCAACTAAAGAATAATAAAAAATCTGCATATTTTAACAAAAACAAAATCTTTACGGTAGAAACTTACCAAATCCAGGTGCCGGTAAAACCGCAGAATTCTCTCCTTTTTAATTTTCCTTTGACACAAAACTGTTCTCCGCTCACTTGTGTAAATTAATATCATCCAATTCTATCAAAACAAATGCATGCCAACACAAGTCTTATCTCTGCGAATCAGGTCGAAACGTCGTGCCCCAGTGCGGTATCACGTCAATCACGTCACGGGTCACATCTTGACCTTCCAAATCTTCATGAAGTATGTTTTTCTCAATCTGATAAACGTAAAACAGCTGAGCATATTTTTTGGGGTTTATTATTATTGCACTAAATATTTAGTAACACTCATGTCGTAATTGAGGAGAAAAAGAACTAACTATGAAAATAAATAAAGGCAAGCATTGGGTCTATATTCTTAATCCACAATTCAATAATGTAGATCTATGCTAAGACATTACAGACTCTACTTTTTCTTGCTTATCGCACCGGAGCTTGATGTGACATCATCCGTACAAAGGATAGCACTGTCATATGGCAGACATACCTACACAAAATCTTAGCAAAAAATATGACGAAAATCCAGCGTTTTTTGCATTGCATCACTCTTTGGATCAACTGGCAAATAAATTCCTTGTATTTTTTTGTTCTATCCCGCCGAGATGTTCACAAAATGCAATTTGCAATAGTTAATTTTCATGTTTGTCACATGCGCCCTGAACGAAAACAAGTGTGTTTGATAATGACTAATGGATGGGTCACACCGCTGTTATTGTGACATTTGACACGGACAATTTTCTCAGCACGATTTGGTGACATTACAAAAATTTTAAGTTAGGTAACATTGCTCTTCATTACGTAATCTACAACGTAAATAAATTCATTACAGTGATACATGAGGTATCACATTAACCAACTGCCACGGGGCTGTAAGAAGTTCACCGGGCCAGCTAGAAACAAATAAAACTTCAATGATGCTGATTCTCTCAAAAGATACTGTCCAACTTCTGAATTTAAACCTCTTGGACATTCAGATTATTCCTAAATTAGCACAAAGCTCCTGTCCTCTTCCTTTAAATAATGGCAAACACATCAAACAGAGAGCCTAAGTAAATACAACACTATTTTGTCCGTTTACACCGCTACTCTAAGTTCCCTGGTTTGTTTTTCACACTATCGTTAGCTAGCTATAGATAGAACGAGCTTGATTGAGATTTAATTGAATACTTTACTATTACTACTTTATACTTTAAAAGTGTGATACTTGAACTTAAAGATGTTTTGCTATGTGAAATGACATATTTTTAATACAACTATGTCAAAAATAGTTTTAATTAAAGTAAATTAGATACTTACTTGGATAAAACTTTATCGATTTGCACTTAAATCATCTTTGCGTATTATTATTATCAAAATAAAACAATTCCAAACAGATTTAATAACTTGCAAATATGATAGAAATACATATACCTACCTACAATAAAGCTCTAACTCAAAATTCTTATTAACGTTGTGTATATTTATTTTAGTTAAACATAAGTTATTGCATGTAAAAATGGCAATTAAAAAAGAAAAAACATTACTAAAATCACAAACATTTTCTAAAAACAAAGAAAAGATGAGGTGAGTTATTAAAATTTTCAGAAGCATAAAATATTACGCGCTCGCAAAATATATTAAAACGTTTGTCTGACGTTTTAAAATGCTAACATGGCTTAACATTCTCGTAATAAGGGTGATCAAATATTTGAGCGGGACCGTTTATGAAAGATACCTAAGCTTACTCAGTTCAAATCGACGAGATGACGTCATTCAGTCAGATTTTCAGAAGTTGATGCTAAAAATGTTCATTACAACTTCTCCGGATCGACTTCATGGGTTACAGTCCAAGGTTACAGTGTATTCATCCATCTAGCCACAAACTAAACATCATGGAAACTAAGCAGGTATTTAAGTATTTGAGAAAGTGTCTATACGTGAGTGTTCAGCGGAGATCAATCCCACAACATGTGGCATAGTAGCTTTAGATTAAGCATGAACTTAGTTTATACTACCAGATCTAGTATTTACTCGTACATCTAAATATTGTTTGTGAACGGGCGTTGACTACGCAGTATAATTTAAATAGAACAATATCTACATCCAAACTAAAGAGCTTTGTTAGTTTATCTACCGTCTATCACACATGCGTGGACAAATCACATTAGCGGACCGGCTTTGTCGAACTACAAATACCGCAGATTCACGCTTCACTAAGATACTAGATATTAAACCTTTTAGCGTATATATTAAAAGGATCACTCTTCAGTTTGCCAATTAATTGTCATATAGGTAAGTAGGTAATTCAAAACAATCCAATGTAGCTACCGAAGAAGATCGGCAAGACCTGGAGCGAGATCAAGCGAGAAGCTCAAGACCGAACGAGACGGAGGACTGTTGTGGACGCCCTCTGC